ATGGCCTGGGAAGACAGTCTTAACTGAGGGGTTGTCTAGATGGGGTTTGCCTGTGGGAGATTGTTTTGATTGTTAAATCGATGCGGAAAGACTCAGCCCACTGTGGGGGGTGTCATTCTCTAGTAAGGGGGCCCAAACTATGTGAAAGGGAAAAGCAAGCAAGCAGGACTGTTTGCATTTATTTCTCTCTGCTCTTGGCTGAATATGGTGCAACTAAATGCTGAAAATGCAGCCACTGTGACTTCCCTTCAGTGATGGCCTATAGCCTGGAATTATGAGCCAGACAAACTCCTCCTCCCCAGAGCTGCTGGTGCTGGAGGCGCTGGTGGTGCTGGAGGTGCTTGGGGGTGTTGGAGGTACTGGGGGTGTTGAAGGTGCTGGGGGTATTGGAGGTGCTGGTGGTGCTGGAGGCGCTGTGGGTGCTGGAGGTGCTGGAGGTGCTTGGGGATGCTGGGGGTGCTGGAGGCGCTGGTGGTGCTGGAGGCGCTGGGGGTGCTGGGGGTGCTGGGAGCGCAGGAGGCGCTGGTGGTGCTGGGGGCGCTGGTGGTGCTGGAGGTGCTGGAGGCGCTGGGGGCGCTGGTGGTACTGGAGGCGCTGGTGGTGCTGGGGGCGCTGGGAGCGCTGGGGGTGCTGGGGGCCCTGGGAGCGCTGGGGGTGCTGGTGGTGCTGGGGGTGCTGGTGGTGCTGGGGGCGCTGGGGGTGCTGTCAACTTGACTGTCATCATCATGATACTTTGTCACAGTGACAGAAGTGAAATTAGGACAGAGGACATGAGAATTCTGTCCTGGGTTCATTTACCCTTGGTCTCCGCATCCATCACTGCCTGCAGGACTGGGACCCACCTGAGCATATGACCCTCGTGATGCTAACTTGTCTGTTTCGTTTGTCACCGTGACATGTCCATTCACCACATGGCTCACATACCTGGTAATGGCCAGGCAGGAGCCATTCCCATGGGACTGCCGTCCTGCCCTCCTCAGTCCCTGGAGAGGGGTCATCAGCAGAGGTGGTTTCTGTCGTCCTTAATTACAGGCTCACAGGACAGCTGTGAGACAGGAGCAGCTATCATTACTGACCCAAACATGCTTCAAAGGAGCTGCAAGTGGCGGCCTGGATAGTCGGCTGGCCAGGCCTGCCCTGCGAAGTGTCACTGTATGGCTGTGATCAGAGCACCTACCTGTTAAGTGTGTCTGGCTAGAGAGGTAAACAGCTGCTGCACGCTCTGTACCTTTCATTAATTGTGTCTGGTATTTGCTTTCTTTCCTGTTGGAATTGATTTGGGTGGCTGATAATCCAAGCTAATGAAGACAATTAAAATGCCAAGCATGACAAACACCAGAATTATCCAGAGCCTCTGTGGGGCTAAGCCTCTTCACTGGGGCCAAAATTAGAATAATGCTGCCACCTCGTGGCTCATAATGGCATCAGGTTTTAAAGGCCAGTGGTTTTACTAACAATTGAAAGCATGGAATCTATGTATTTGACAGGGCAATAATAGATTGTGAAGTTTTCAGCACAAAATAAGCAAGATTGGTGTGGTGATGCGCACATCTAATCCTAGCACTCTGGAGACAGGAGGAGTTCAAAGCCACCCTCGGCTACATAGCCAGTTCAAGACCAGTGTATAGTACATTTAAAAGTGAATAGATCACTTCTGAATAAATTCCCAGTGGAAGTTTTATAAGTTGAATTGCTGACCTTCCTTAGTCAAGGAGATGCAAGCCCACAGTCCCCCAGAATGACATGGTCTGGGGGATGCAGGAAACCCCACTGGCCCTATTCTGGAATGCAATGTATTTTTATTCCATGGCTATCTGCAATTTGATTGATACCTGCGTATCCAATAAAGAAGCACTCCACGAAGCAAAAATACACAATTGTCACCTGCTTCCTTCTCCAACTGTAAGGCTTACAAGTGTCATAGTAACGTCAGTTAAGGTACAGTAGAGGTAGAGACAACTCCTAGGTCCTGTGTCATAAATTACTTTTAAATATTTATATTTGCAGTCCAAAATCAGCTAATTTTTTTTCGGTTCTGTTTTGTTTTGTTTTGTTGTTGTTTGAGACAGGCTGTCTCTACATAGCCCTGGATATCCTAGAATTCACTCTGTAGACCAAGCTGACCTCGAACTCAGAGATTCATCCACCTGCCTCTATCTTCCAGGTGCTGAAATTAAAAGTATACACCACCATACCCAGCCTCCAAAATCAGTTGTTCTTGATGAATCTTTTGAGATGTAACATACACTTTACTCAAGTACCCCCATTCCTGCCTAAGAAGGCAGCACAAAAGTCACAGTGTACACACAGACAAGACGGTGGGGGCTGGAGACAGGGCATTCACACATCAGAAGGGACATTTCATCTCCACATAAAGAGGAGACAGCGCATCTCCACATGTAGGCAGGGAGATGGCCGGAGACACAGTTCAATTGTAGAAGAGCCTATAAAAATCCAAGGTGTAGTATCCAGGGAAGAAACAGGAGGCAGAATTATGGGGGCAGAGCCATAAAGAAATGGAGATAAGAGAGTATAATATCTCTAAATCAGAGGTGTGCAGGTACCCACCTGCCCTGGCACCACGTACGCACGTGCACACCCTTGATGTCAGTCCCCTCCAGGGACCTTGTCTGTTGTGGCTCTGCCTAGACCCTGCTGTACCCTCGCTCTTCCGGTAAAGCAGCACTCAGGAGGTGCTGGGGTGGAAGCAGCTGAGGCTGTGGATTTACCCTGGCTCACTAGGAAAGCAGGTGCTACCAGACAGGCGCTCTCTCCACGGTGAGATTTTTGTACGGGCTGAGAACTGGGGAGGGTTTCTTTCTGCGGCTCTTTATGAAGTTCTAATTGACAGGGGTAAGCCGGGAGTTTTGGCACATTTTCTGTGAGTTCCATCTTTTATTCAGTAGCTTGTAATGACTCCCTTTCATCTCCCTCCCTGGGCTGTCCTAGGATGGCACCCCGCATATTTCAGTGTATCTGATCAGCCCTCCTGTTAGGGGGACCAGAGCCGGTGCGGGGCTGGAGAGAAGTACTGGGGAGCCCCTGCTGGCTGCTGGGTGCCACTCTGCCTCTGAGCAAGCTGCACAGCCAGCTGTCCCTTATTCATAGTGTTGATTAATCGGGTGTGTGAGTGAAGAAACAAAGCTGTGTGTGCAAGAGAGAGGCCCTGTGTCTGTGTTTCCTACAGAATCTCGTGGTTTGCACCTACGCATGGCAGGCGTTTCCCAGGTCACCATGTTCAGTGTTTCTTCGTCTGTGTTTCAGAAACCCATTGCTGCACTGCTGTGCTGCTCACTTGAGAGTAAATTCCAGGCTGTTCCTTTCCATTAGAATGTTCTGGAACTAACCAAATCAGTGTCGTTGTGTAGATAAGACCTCTCTTACCACAGATAACGTTGGCTGGTGTGCTCCTCTGTTTCCAATGTGCCTCTAATACTGAAATGTTTAGCAACAGTACCTGGGCATTCTCAGAAGCATTGTGGAGGGAACAGGGGGCTGCTCCGAGTGAGCCAGGGTTGCCTCCAGGACAGGAGCACGGTGTGTGGGAGTCCAGGCAGGCAGACTCATCCTTCGGGGCGCTTGGACCGAGTTCTTTCCCTGCTTGGGTCCAACTTCCTGCTCAGTAAAGTGAGGACCAAAGTGCCTCCCACTGAGTGGTGGTGGCAATGAATGCAGAAGCGCCTGGTGGCCTTCCTGGGACTCGTAGTTCTTCACAAATCCTTCTCACTTCCTACTGAGGGAGTGTCCTCAGCACGAGCTTCCAGCCTCTCCTTTGAAAATGAGTTACTGGGTACCCAGCAGCAGCTTAGTGAAGACTCCTCCTAGGAAGTAAAGGCACACTCGTGAACAGCCAACTGCAAGTGTGCACAGATGCTCTGTTTAGTGGGCCACACTAGCCATAAGCTGTCCAAGGTAAAAATGGGCATGAGAAGCTAAGGAGACAGGCGGTGGCGGTGGGACAGGGAGACAGGGAGACAGGGAGACAGGCGGTGGGGCAGGGAGACAGGGAGACAGGGAGACAGGCGGTGGGGCAGGGAGACAGGCGGTGGGGCAGGGAGACAGGCGGTGGGGCAGGGAGACAGGCGGTGGCGGTGGGGCATGGGAGGAAAATAACATTACTGCAGAGTATGTGTAAAGGGCACTGGCAAGATGACTCAGAGGTAAAGCCCCTTAGCAGCAAACCTGACAACCTGAGTCCTATCTCTTAAGACCCACAGTGTAGAAGAAGAGAATTGACATTTACAAGTTGTCTTGTGGCCACTGCATTTGTCACATGGGATATGTACACCTACACACACAGAGACACACACAGACACACATACACCTAGATAAATAAAAATTAATTAAAAAATTTAAAGATGTATATGTATGTACATATATACCAAACATTTTATACTGACCTGGATAAAGGCATATTAAGTCCAGTGTTTCCTTGCTTTGGGGTGCTTGAAATCTTCATTGAAGACTTTAAGAACCTCCCTCAAAACAAGTCCGTCCTTCAAATGTATCCAGACGATAAAGCGCCCATTGCTTCAGATGCTCTGCTAGGCACTGGTGCGTTCCTGATGGAAATCTCACACGAGGAACACAAACACTGACCACGGACCTGGACAGAGTCCAGTTCCCAGGCACACCTGCCCCTGCACACACCGCCTGGCCACTCTGAGACCTTGCCCATGACAGAAGGCTGTGCATTTCCAACGTGGAGTGCTTGTGAACAGAGTGCTGGAGGTTTTCCAGAGTCTGAGAAGTGGCTAGCTGACCGAGAGAAAAGACTCAAGCCTGATCGTGACGTTCATGTGTATTTCACACTCATTGCATACACGAGCTGAAGGTAATTTTACGGTTTCAGGGTACGTGCATTTGATGCCATGTACAGAAGCTTTTGCTGTGGCAGCATGTCCGCATTCAAAATTTAGATCTGGGAGTCTTTCAGGATTTTCTCAGGAATGCTCACCCTCTCTAGAGAAGCGATTGCAACTGTGTCCTTGTCTCTGCAGGACGGTAAAGCCCTCTAGCCCCATGTGACGGCCTGTGAAGAGCTGCCTTCCTCTGCTGGCCACCGGCTCCACCATGGGTCCTGCAGGAAGCACACTGAGCGCTGGGCCCCTGCAGATGCAGATGGTTCTCTGGGGAAGTCTGGCTGCCGTGGCCATGTTCTTCCTCCTCACCTTCCTCATCCTTCTGTGCTCCAGTTGTGACAGGTTAGAACACGCATGCATCTTCTAGAACCTAAACATAGTCCTTGTCATTCCCAAAGGAGCCTTTGTACCAAAGAGTCCCCGCCCGTGTTTACAGGTTGGTCACAAAGGTTCCAAGGACATTCTCCATCACTCACTTGAAAACCCTCAACTTTCCTGGAGAGCAAAGCAAAGAGTCCTTCCCGATGTTTCAGATGCCAGGATGAAGTCTCTGCTGCTCTCTGAGCACATCCTTTGGAGTGCTGTCTTTTTTCTAGCCGTAGGCAGATTGAAATCTGAGTGTGAGACACTACATCTCTTTTTCACAGTTGGCATTACTGAGGAGGCTCATGGATTCTTAAAAATGTGTGTGGTAAGCTGCCCTTTGTGAAGAAACAGATTTGTTTTCCTGCAAGACAGACTCACTGAATGTGGAAACAATTTTTTTTTCTTTTTAAGCATTACTACTTGTCTCGCTTTGAACATGGAGAATTGGGGTTCTTTACAAACAAAAGCAATTGCTCAGAAGAGTCAGGGATGGTCCAAAGTCTGCAGCTTTGGGGTATTGACGGAGCCCATGGGGACCAACTTAGCCAGCCATACCCAGTTCTCTCAAGCTGGGAAGAAATGTGCTGATATTTAAAAGGATCCCACCCTAAAATCTGTCAAGAATGGAAAATCCAGGCCTTGTATATCCTATCCTGATCCCCCGCCAAGCGGACCCAGGCCTTGAAGGCTAGGTGGAGCTTCCAGCTTCCAAGAAGATAGAACATAGGAGGTCCTAGTTCTAGCTCCCAGGGGCCTGAAAATTCTGCTGCCATGACTCGCTCTCCCGCTAGGTGTCACCCTCTCCTCACCATGGTAGAAACGCCGTCTTTACTGCTGATGGCTTTCTTTGGACTGTCTGTGCGAGGAAATGTATGCTATCTTTACTCACCGGACTTTTCCACAGACTAGAAGTCCACGTGACTCTTCCTGCGAGCTTGTCACCTTCCTGACGGACATGCAGTGTTGTATCTCCTGTACCTTTTCTCCTCCCTCACATCAGGTGACTCCACAGACTCTTAAGGGAGAAGATGAAATGATTGTTAGGGTTCGCTGAGGAAAAAAAGCACCGTCTGCCATCCGCGCCCTCTGGGCACAGCCAGATCCTGCTTGCAGCGTGCCTCCATCCTCCTCTGCTCACGGGGAAAGAGTGTGCAGAAAGGAGACACATCCTTGGCTGTCAGTTCGCCCAGCAAAATAAACCTAGTTCATAAAACCAGATAAGAGCATGGACACATCTGTCTTCTTTTCATTTCAGAGAGAAGAAGCCAAAGCAACACAGCGGGGACCACGAGAATCTGATGAACGTGGTAAGCGGTGGTATTTCTGTCCATCTGTCTGTCCAGTGACACCTATCCAGGAATGTCACCGCTGGCTTTGACCTGAGTGAAGTTGGCATGTAGAAGGGAGTGGAAATGAGCTGTGTGCTCCACCAATGTTCACAGAGCTTCTGAGGGAAAGGCTGGACCGGACTGGGCTCCAGCCTGCTGCAGGGACATCTTCTGTCCCCTTTGGTCAGAGAGGGCTGTCACAGAACAAACTGGATGACTCAGATGGGATTTACTGTCTCTCTGCTCTGGAGAGCAGAGTCCAGCATCCACGGTGTTGTCACGTTAGGTCCTTCCAGAGTTGGACCTGTCCCCAGGCTCAGTTCCTTAGTTCACACCTGGTCCGTGTCTCCACCTCTGTCCCTCTGCTTTCCTTCTCCAAATGTCTGCCCTTAGGGCCAAGTCATAAAGATACCAAATATATGAGACTAGAACCCAGGTGACTGACGTAACCTCAGTCTTCACCAGAGCCATCGGAGGTGTCCTGGTTCTCAGATAGAGTGCACTCTGCAGGTTAGGTGGAAATACAACCACGCACCAGGGCCTGGGGCCCATGGCACAGCCTGGCCTTGCTGCCTTCCCCAGTCCTCATCTGAGGAGGACTTAGTGGGATCTGCCCACCTGGGTGAGGAGCAGCCTGAGGGTGTCACAGTCTGTCTGTCCTTTAACTCAAATTGTGCCCTTAGGCGGTAGCACAGCCCCAGCAGCTGTCTCTACAGCCCACCCCCAGCCCCAGGGCAGTGCTAGGAGAGAAGTTGCTTCCTGGTCAGAGCAAGAAGGAAGCAGCACGTGTATGTCTATCTCTGTGGGATCAGTATATTTGCACCCAGCAGGTGTGTTCAGAGCTCATGCAGGAGACCCCAGGGTGCCTGAACCCCCACTTCGCTGTGTGTCTGTGACCCAAGCAGGTAGGAAGCTGCCAGGATTCCCTTCTTGGCTCCTCCTAGACCCCAGAGCACTGGGTGTCTGTGTGAGTCCCACTGTCCTGACCCTCAGCAACCCCCTCCTTTGAGAGATTCTCTCACGTTTCACATCTTCTGCTGTCCTCACTTCTCTGTTCCCAGCTTCTCCATCTCTGCCTGTGATTGTTGGTACAATGGGGGAGGGAGTAGAAGGATGGAGCCCTGTGTTATTCACCTACCACCTTGCTCAGAGTGAGGTGGATAGTGAATTGTTGCCTGAAGCTAGGCATCCTCCTCTACCCTCATTTCCTTCTAGAACAAGGGTCAGGTATGGCTGGACCATTAGCAATAGCACCACCTGGGAGCAGATAGGAAGCCAGTGTTCCAGGGATGGAACCAACTCTGGTGTAGGTACCAGTGTGGATCCCTATTCTTGGTCTGTCCCTGCCATTGTGCCTGAGGTCAGCAGCCTTTGGTGAGTGGAGCAGATGAGCAAAGGAGAAGGCAGTCTCTTCATCTTCTTCCTCTCATGGGATCCCCCATGCGCCAACACACGACTGTGTACACTACGGTGTGCACTCACGGTGTGCACTCACGGTGTGCACTCATGGTGTGCACTCATGGTGTGCACTCATGGTGTGCACTCACGGTGCGCACTCACAAGAATGTGGCGTACACTGGCCACACGAGGCCTGCACACGCTGTTGTCCACCTAGTTCCTGAGTTTGCTAGATATCACAGTTTGCAGATTTGTTTCTGTGGTGATGGGAAATGTTGTAGTGATGGGGCGAGCAGGCCTGCTTTTCGACTTGCCCGGCTCCCACATGGTTAGCTTTACACCCGAAATAACAACACACAAATTGTATTTATTTAAACACTGCTTGGCCCATTAGCTCTAGCCTCTTATTGGCTATTCTCACATCTTGATTAACCCATTTCTAATAATCAGTGTAGTACCACGAGGTGGTGGCTTATCGGGAAAGATTCTAGCCTACGTCCATCTTGGGTCGAAGAATCATGGCGTCTGCATCACTGCCTTCTTCCTCGCAGCATTCTGTCTTCCCCGCCTACCTATGTTCTGACCTATCAGGCCAAGCAGTTTTCTTTATTAATTAACCAATGAAACAACAGATAGACAGATGACCCTCCTCCATCAAAATGTCATTCAGACATAGATTGTGGAAGTCTGGCCATGACAGGTTTTACAGGAAGCCTTCCCTCGATCCCCTGGCCTCTCCCCTAAGGACACTGTTTCTATAGTGTGAGCACCTAGATCATGGAGCAGCAGGTGTGAGTAGCACTGGCCCAGTAGAGCAGACTCCCTGGACACTCGGGCATCACCACACGTCGGGGCCATTTTCCGTCTGTTATTAGATTTCCCATCAGAGTCAGGAAGTTTGTGAGGCCAACTACCCAAGATTTCTCTGCAGGACATATCAGAATTTCCCATGTGATATCCTGGAGCCCGGGCTGTGTCCTGGGCAGCAGAAGCCATGAACGTGAAAAGGATGGGGTCTGTCGTGTGCCCATCTGGGTTGCTCTCTGGGACCAGTAGCGTAAGCTGCATCTAGGAGCAGCTTGTTTCTGCATGCCCCTCATGACAACTCCACCTAGCATGTAGTTCCAGACAGTGTCTGCACACCACCGTCACCCCAGAGGAGCAAACTCTCTGTGTGTCTTTTAGAACAAGAAAGGTTCGCAAAGCAATTTCTCAGTAGATGATCCTTTCGGTGACGCCTGAAGCCAGAGACTAGTGCTGGAAGAGCCTCAGAAATGTATGGCGTTAAATACGGTACAGACTCAGTCTCCTCCTGTCTGGAGGCAGCAGTGATGCTTTGCTCTTTGTTTGGCAATACCTGTGTTACAAGGATGGCATTGGTCCCTGCTGGGATCTGTTCTGACCACAAGAGTTTGTGGTCTCCTTTTGCCGTGTGCTAAGGAAAACAGTGTGTCTGTAGCCCACTTGTAACCACCAGGTGAGGTGCACTGCCTGAAGCCCCAGAAGAGTCCCAGTTCCCCTGAGAATCCAGAACCACACCTTCAAAAATAAGCTTAGTCATTCTCCATCGGTCAGAATGGTCCCCACTTTGACACCTGAGTGTGGCTAAGTTATCCATGGGACTCACCTAATTTGATTCATGGATTCTGGGATTTGCTTTTGACTGTTTTGATTTTAGGAGTGTCTTCCTCTGGTATGCAGCAGATTCTTACCAAAAGATGTATTTGGATTTTTCAGCCTTCTGACAAGGAGATGTTCAGCCATTCAGCGACCAGCCTGACAACAGATGCCCTGGCCAGCAGTGAACAGAACGGGGTGCTCACCAATGGTGACAGTAAGTTCTGCAGAGATATCACTGTGAACGTACTAGGTTTCAAATAAGGTGGATCACAGGGCTGGAATGATGACTCAGCAGTTAGGGCCAACACTGTCACCACCGCCCCCACCACCACCACCACCTCTACCACATCCACCACCATCTCCATTGCCACCGCCTCCTCTACCACCTCTATCTCCACCTCCACCTCCACCACTACGGCCACTACCACCGCCGCCACCACCTCTATCACTTCCACCACTACCTCAATCACCACCTCCACCATCTCTACCACCACCTCCCCCACCACCTCCCCCACCACCTCCACCACCACGTCCACCACCACCTCCACCACCACCTCCACCACCATCTCCACCACCTCCACCTCCACCTCTACCACCACCTCCACCACCATCTCCACCTCCTCCCCCACCACCTCCCCCACCACCTCTGCTGCTGCTCTTCCAGAAGACTTGAATTTAATTCCCAGCACCCACATGGCAGCTCACCACCATCCACTACTGCAGTTCCAGGGGATCCAGTGCCCTCCACAGGCACCAGGCTTGCAAGTGATGCACGAACATATATGCAGGCAGAACACCAGACATGTGAAATAAAGATTTCATTTTCTGAATAAAGAAAAAAGGTAGCTCAGAAACTGGGGGTATACTCTACCTGATCACTATAGCCACTAGTCTTAGCCAGAAGTCTCATTTGCATAAAGACACCTGGAATCTGGTTGTTGGCTGTTAGAAGTGGGTAGAGTCACCTGCTCCAGCCTTGAAAGCGTCTACTCCTCACTGAGTCCCCCATTGACAGGCAGCACTCAGTCACCGTCTCCAGCCCCCAGCTGCGCATCACAGCACCGCAGCAGACCTTGAGTGGAGAAAGTTCATTAACTTACGACTGTCAGGGTCACAAGTGTGAGCAGTATTAAATTCAGATGTCTGCAAGCCTGCTTCCACTTCCTGCTAGGGGCTGATAGTCACTTCTTGCCACCTGCAGCCTCCTGCATCCCATAGTCCAAGGATTCTCCTGAATCTCTGAATCTCCTGCTGCCCTTCATCTTCCACCCTTTGGGACCGTGTGTAATCCCTTGGGCTTGTCTAGGTAACCAAGTTCCTCTACCCTCTCAAAGTCGGCCGATTACACACTACACGCGTGCACACACGCACGCACGCATGCACATTGGTACGTGACACAGCATGTAGTTTCCGTAGACTGGGATGAAGACATCTTTGGGAAGTCACATCCTTGTCACACAGCCATTAATAACCTGACCAAGGTTTGATTATCACATAGCTTGGGGATCTGTAACGTGAACCAGGCAGCGTGATTCCAGGGCAGGCACTCAGCATTCTGTATACACCATTCTGTCTGACACACGATATACACTGACTGACAGGCGTAGTCGCAACGATTGCTGCCTGTGTGGCTTGCATTCCCTAAGGCAAGGCTTCTTCCTTCCGCCTTTATGAAGGAAGCTCAGGGGTCATCAGCATGGCACCCGAGTCTACAGGTGCCAGTGCCCCTCTGTTCTGGGACCAGATAACTGGAGCCCAGCAGGAGCTGTCCCCCGGGATCAGAAGGAGTTGGAACTCTGGGACTGCTAAATCCAGAGTGTTGAGGATACAGCATTATCCCGCATGTTTCTTTTTCTGTTCTTCTTCCTAGCTGTATATTTTACATTTCCATACGTGGATATAATGTATTGTGATCACATCCACCCTCATTACCCTCACCCCCCACCCACACTCCTACTGACCCCTTCCTCTTCCCACATGCTCCCCTTTCTTGTTTCGGTTTTCTTGGTTTATTGGTGTTGCTGGAGTTTTGTTTTGTTTCGTGGTTTAGGTGAAGGCCTCGGGAGCCCTCCCAGCTGGTACACTGTCTCTAATCTCCCTACAGTGAGGTTCACTTGAGTAAGAACTTGTCGCTTTGATGTGAGAATTCTGAGAGAAGGATTCTATTCTGCTCACCTCTGGGTGTGTACCGGGTTGAACAGTCCCTGGCATCTGGCCAACACTCAAAATCCATGCCATAAGGATCGACTGCCAGGAATCATGGTTACCATTTTAGAGGCAGTCCAGGGACATGCTGGTGGGGCCTCTGTGAGGCAAGGATGTGGGGCCGAGGCACAGTGTCTGGCCTTTGGTGATACAGACCTAAGGTGCATCGCTGCTGCTCCACCTCTGTCCTAACAGCCAGATGAAACTGACTTGTGACATGGGACAGGCCAAGAAGAGCGCCTACTCCCTCAAAGGCAAGGACCCGTTAGACGAGGGTAACACACATGCCCCATTTTTGGTATTTTGTCAACTTCACTTGTTCTCTAGCCTGGGGATGGAGGCAGGTCCTGGTGTGAGCTACAGGCAGGCGCTCTAGCACTAAGCCAGTTACCCAGTCTGCAATTGAACTGAGTCTTCCTGCCTCAGCCGCTTTAAGCACTTGGCCCTGCCTGGAATGTTTCTTTGATCCTGTGCACTGTCAGGCCCTCTGCCTCCGTGGGTCTCAGCAGGAGTAACAGTAAGTAATGAAAGGAACCATGAGTCAGAGTGTAGCTAGCCCGCATCCTTTATTAAATCATGGACCGGGAATACAATGGCTGGCTTCCCTTTAAATGGAATGGGATGCTGCTGAGCATCAGGTTACTTAACGCGGACTTGATGGTCTAGCATCGTGGCGCCCTGCACGGGTTATTAAGGGGTGCTCTTCCTCTGCTGCTAATACCCCGTCCTCTTCAGTTCTTTCAGAAGACAGCACCTTGACCTGCATGCAGCATTATGAGGAAGTTCAGACCTCGGCCTCCGATCTTCTGGACTCCCAGGACAGCACAGGAAAGCCCAAGAGTCATCAGAGCCGGGAGCTGCCAAGGATCCCCCCAGAGAACGCCGTGGACGCCATGCTCACAGCCAGGGTGGTGGAGGGGGACTCGGGGCCCGGCATGGAGGGGCCCTACGAGGTGCTCAAGGATAGTTCCTCCCAGGAGAACATGGTGGAGGACTGCCTATATGAAACTGTTAAGGAAATCAAGGAGGTGGCAGACAAAGGCCAGGCTGGCAAGTCCAAGTCCACGTCCGCCTTGAAGGAGCTTCAGGGCGTCCCCGCAGAGGGCAAACCCGACTTTGCTGAGTATGCCTCTGTGGACAGAAACAAGAAGTGCCGCCAGAGCGTCAACGCAGAGAGCATTCTGGGAGCGTCCAGTGACCCGGAAGAGGAAGCCCCCCCACCTGTCCCGGTTAAACTTCTGAATGAGAACGCAAACCTTCCAGAGAAGGGAGAGGCAGAGGCAGAAGAGCAAGCTCCGGAGGGGACCAGTGGACACAACAAGGTGGGCTTTTGTCCTGACGGAAAGGTTGCCGGGTCCTGGGACGTATGTATGATACTAGCAGGTTCATGAAATGAAACGTGACCCGGGCTAGTGTAAGCCGTTTTACCCTCTAAGTCTTAAGATGCTGAAGATTTATGCCTACAAAATCTTTCTCATATCTCATTTGGGTCGTTTCCAGCGTTTATATTATATATTATTAGACCAATATTAGTGTCACTAAGAACTAAATAGGCAAGATTCTTTGCCCCACAGTCCTGTCTTCTCTGTGTGGCTTCCTTGGGCAGCATAACTTGAGCCCTTCAGAACCCCACAGCTGGAAGCACTCTGTCCTGTGCAGACAGTCCAGATGTTCAATGTCTCTGCTCGCAGCTTGTTGTGTGTATTTTCCTCTAAACCAACTAACGAGTCTTATTTTTCACTAGTTTCTATGCAATATTTTTAAGTAATTTCTAAAAAGTTTATTCAGCAGAGGTCTAAGATTCATCAGCAGTCTGCAGCCTTTGGCACATGTGTCTCAACAGCCTCTGAGCCACAGGGAGCCTCACATTGGATGTCGAAATGCCCCAGCATTTAAGTAGGCCCACCCCACTTCCGTCAGCTAATAAGGTTTCCTGTTATCTACAGAGATAAATGCCGGGTTATCTTCCAGTTGTAAGTTCAAGTCCAGCCTCTGCAGGGAGGGCAGGGGGGGATCAGGAGCAGAGCTGCTGATGCTCACCCTTCCTGTGGCTGTCTATGAAGTCATTTCACACTCTTCTGAGTTTGTCTCAACTTTTCCTGGTATCTGTGAAATCGGCGGCCACACGCACCTCTGGGATATTTGCAAACATGTTCGTAAGCTGCAGTAAAATCCAAGTTTCTGCCGTTCCTATAACCAAAGACAAGGAAAGCGACATGAGTGTATGCTGCCTGGACTAGCGAAGCTCTTCTTCATGAGCATTCGGAAGACAGAAGGGTTTTTTTCTATTGTTAATGAGTACTTCTCCAGATTCCACGTTAGGGACTGGAGACCCGCATCTCAGGATCCAGTCATCCCTCACTCCAAGAGGGATCCTCTTCCATGCAAACAATCCCAATTTTAACAGAATTAGGAATGTCAAATGTTTGATATTTTTTAAAAAAAGATTTTATTGAGCGTCCACTACATGCCATATGGCCTTCTAGATGTTCTACCCCAGTGAGTAAACTATAAATGGATACAAATCCCAGGTCATGTGGAACTTGAGTTTTAGTGGGGGAAGAGATAGACATAACATAGTTTAAAGGGAATAGCCACATAAGGAAGATTGGGCATAAGTCGGGTGGGGGTAGAGTTGTTGCTCCTACCTCTAAGTGAAGGGATTCTTGAGCAGGATCTAGGGGGCCTGAGAAATCTGGGCAGGTGCTCTTCGAGGCACTGTGCACTTTGATCTCGGGAAGCCCCCAAGCTAGCTCAGTGGCTGGTGTGGGAGGGAGGGCTGGGGTGAGCCGAGATGGGCAAAGATGAGAAGACTTTGCAGACAGGTGTCTGGTTATGTCCTGGGCCCGTGGTCTGAATGAAACCAGCAGAAAGCAAGAGTATAATCTATGCTGTGAAAGCTTCCTCTGCTCTAATACCTAGAGGGGCTCCGGGCAGGACAGAGGCAGCAGAAGTGATGAGAGGAGCGAGCGAGACCAAGAGCTGAGGGCTGGCACAGCCTGTGGGCACAAGGAACCACCGCAAATCAAGACAGAGTATCCCAGGAGGGCAGGGGCTGGGGCGAGCCGCAGTCCTCTGCTCGAGTAGTGTTCCGCTAGAGATCAGGACACACCTCGGGGCAGCTGGGGCTGGGGTCACATGGTTCAGAACTAGCTGCCAAACTGTTTAAGCTCATGGCAATGGGTGGCATGTCTACTAGGACCAGAAGAGTCCTAAGAACAGGGATCTGGGGTCAGGAGGACAGCAGGAGAAACCAAAATAAGAACAAAGACCAGGAAAGAGGGTGGGACTTGCTGGAGACCTGAGCACACACAGGACAAGCCATCACTCTGCTGTGACCATCATTTGGGACCAAGACGAACAGTGTGAAAGTAGATACTTGGCTGAAGTGGTTGGCAGAGGAAAGTTATCTGAGGCTTCTCTGGACAATAGTGAGGGAAAGATGGATATACTATCACCCTCCCCAAAGCCCGTCATCTCTCCCTTGGTGATGATGATGAGGAACCAAAACCATGGGTTTGGAAACCACTGACTGATTTCCACTGCACACTGAAGTATTAGACCTCTGGACAGCAGTGGTGTGACTGGGCAGTCATGGGTGTGCCAGCAGCTGATTCAAGAGACACATGATGGCCTGCAGTCTATAGAGATCCCAGAAGGCCCTGGTCTAGGCATGGGTGTACATGAAGTCTGTAGAGATTCCTGAAAGTCCTGGTCTAAACATGGGTGTATATGAAGTCTGCAGAGATCCCTGAAGGCCCTGGTCTAGACATGGGCATATATGAAGTCTGCAGAGATCCCAGAAGGCCCTTGTCTAGACATGAACATATATGCGCAGTAGATAGGTTCAGCTATCGGTTTCAAACTGCTTTAATTTGTATTTTTTGACAGAGATTTAGTTCCTTGTCATACAAGTCTCGGGAAGAAGACCCAAATCTTACAGAAGAGGAGGTAAACTTCAATTGTTTTCAAATAACCAAAAGCATGTGCTTAAAAAATAGAGACATCAAGGGGCTGGAGGGCTGGTTCAGCAGTTCAGAGCCTGCGCTGCTCTTGTAGAGGAGTTCAGTTCCACAGCCCAGGCTGGGCAGCTGGCAACACCCTGTCTCACCAACTCCAGGGAATCCAGTCTCGCTCAGTGCAGAAGGAAGGGTTGGACAGACATGAAGAGGAGGGAGAACTAGGGTCAGAAAAGAAGGAGGGCGCTTTAGTCAACAGCCAGGGTGGGCCACCCTAGAAGGAAATTGTCAGTGGGCTGGAAAATTCCCAAAGTCAGGATGGCTGGAAGTAGGGAATTTCATCCTGCCTAGAATGTTGGAAAATGTCTCTGAATGGAATGTTGGCTGCTGGTCGCTTCAGGAAAAATGAAATCAGGCTAAGACTAACATTGCTTGAAGCTACCAGTAAAAACAAATGGTAGATTTCCAAGAATGAGGGTAAAAACTGAGACTTATGTGGTGCCTCCCAAATGCAGAAGCCATGACCATGACACACATGGCGCTAGGTTCAGATGGAGCACCAGACCCCTTCCCTACTCCCGCTGTACGTGGCTGGAGAGGAATGCCCAGTGTGGGAGCTTTGTCACTGGCTGGGAGCTCTTGAGTGCAGCCTAGGGAGACGAAGAGTGAGTTCACGGCGTGCCTTCTTCAGATGACACTGCCTAGGCCCCACGTGCTCCTTCCCAAGGAAGGGAAATGTTACCCGTCTCCCTGGCTGCAGAAGGCAAAACTTAGGAGTCGTCTTTGATTCCTATTGCTTCCCCATCCTCCCAGGTACAACCAGTTGCCAAGGCCCTTCAGGGGCCTCCCAGCTTTCTGCCTCATACCTCCATCTCTGGAGTGCCCCTCATGTCCCCTCCCACTGAAGCCCTTGTGAGTCTGCGGCTTTCCCCTACCAGTTTTCCACTAGCCACGGTAGCTCCATCTGGTCTTCTGAGAAACCCACAAAACTGGGTTTACAGAGTTAGTCAAATACGACTAATCTATAGAAAGGAAGATAGTGTGATTATTCTCTAGTTCCACACTTCAGAACTAATATGGATGACAAAGGTGACTCACGGGGTGGGGCAGTGTTTATGAGCACCTAGTGGGGAGGAGGGAGCATCTAGTGGGGAGGAGGGAGGCCGCTCCAGCCAGCAGTTTATTTCTCCTTGTTCCCTACCTAGATCTCGGCCATGTATTCCTCAGTGAATAAACTCGGACAGTCAGCACACAAACCCGGACCGTCTCCGAAAGAGCCAGAGTTGACCTGCCAGTCCGTGCAGGGACCCCCTCAGAGGTCATCCTCTTCCTGTAATGACCTCTATGCCACTGTGAAAGACTTCGAGAAATCTCCCAACAGCCTCTGCACACCTCCCCCAGCAAGGAGGCCCAGTGAGGAACCCGAGCCTGACTATGAAGCCATACACAATCTAAACAGAGAGGAAGAAAAGGTCCCTCTGGAGACCAATGGCCACCTCGTCCCCAAGGAGAATGACTACGAGAGCATTGGGGACTTGCAGCACTGCAGAGATATCACCAGGCTTTAGCAACCCAGAAGTCTCAGAGCCTGTGATCGGGACTCATCCAGGACCACTCGGCTGTGGAATGATAAGATGTCATGTTGCTTTAGTTAACCCAAGTCAAGCACAGGGTCACAGCTGTTCCCCAGTTTCTGAAGCAGTAAGGTACGGACCCACCTGTCAGGGCAGGATGCCATACTCACGAGGAACCCCACATACATGTGACCTCCACATCCCACAGAGGAAGGCAGCCTGTGAGGGGAAGCTTCACCGGCCAGTGCTGAAATTCCATCTGCCTGGGATACCTGCCGCCCTGTGGAGCCAGGTTTCCTTCCTCACTCTCCTCCTCTGTCTGCCACCAGAGCTAAATCATCCTGCCTTCCACCACTTGTGACCCAGCCACGTCTGTGGTTCATCCCAAGGAGGGTCTCCCACAGGCTTGGCACCATCTTCCGCTGGATGCTAGGATGGTGAGAACAGGCCGCTGGTCCCACCGGCTTCCTAGTTCTCCCTGTTTGTCCCTGGGCTTCTGGACGATACAGGCTATAGAGGTTGGGGGTGGGGTGTCCCTGGAGGCTCTGGGGTCTTTTCTCCTAATTGTGACAGCGCACTTGCAATCTTTCCACTGTATTTGAGGTACTTTAGATGCTTTTCCTATTTTTCCTGTTCAAACCTTCCCCCACGGTGTTCGGAAACCTTGTCAGAGTTTCGGAACTCCCAGTGACAACCATGGTACTTCTGACGTTGTTTAAGCCCAACGCTCTCCCTTCCAAACAGAGCCTTAATGTTTATGTTGGGACCCAGACCGCATGTGCAGACAGCAGCCATGGTGTCTATCCCCAAAGGGCTGCGGACATGAATTTGTATTCCCAGTGATCTCTGCTGCCCACATGTGTGACTTTCCTATCTTCGATGGTAATCTAAGAGTAAAATGTATACATTTATTTTATTATATAAATTTATAAGATGTTTTATGTTCATGCCTAATTTCTAGAAAGTGCCAGAAAACATATATTAACTATTTTGATTTTCTGTACGATGATTTATACTCAGTTTTAAAAGGCACCGTAAAGCACACAAGCTAGGTAATTATGAGCAGTTTCTATTCTTTTCTCTAACAAGTAACATAACATTGAAGATTTGTAAGGACTCGGCTTTCCAGATGGTATCGGGAGCTTCAGATCCAGAACACCCAGACCACTGGTGACTCACATGCAGTGATGACCATGTCGAAGTGACAGACATCACTGAGACTGTCAGTGTTAGAAAGAGAGCAAACTCTGGCTTCAGAAGTTTGAACTTGCCGAAGGGCTCAGATATCTCTAAGAATCTCAGTGGTGGTGTCCACCGTGCGGTACTTGCCAGTGCAAATTGCCTGTTAGACTTTTTTTTTTTCCTTCATTTAACAAAAATCAGTGGCTGAAGTAGCTCAGATTACCAGTTCAGTCTGCTTTCAATTCAATCATCCCTCTACATCTTCTGAGGCCAACACTGGGAACTGCGTTCACTTTTCAGTCTTAGAGGAGCCTAGCCAAAGTGCAGGCAGGAAACCTTGGCACTGATGCAGAGAGAGGCCGTTCCCGCCCCCGCTGTGACTTCTGACTCTAACCGCGCACTAACCATGCTGTTCTCCCTCCTGTGAGACTCCCAGAATGTGACTGGGAGGGTGAAGTGCCCAGCTGCGGCCTGTGTTCCCATCCCTGTATTCATGAACTGTCCTTGTCGCTGCTGTGTGCCAGGCTTGTGGGGCTGTAAACTCTCGGAAGTGGTGTCAGTCAGCCCAGTCCACCCATGAAGATGCCACACAGATCAGCGGAACCACTGCCGATCAGACGGGAACAAGCAGGGCACCTCCCCTGCCCCAGGAGCAGCAGAGGGCAAGGATCTTCCGCAAACACGGACTTACACCACTGTGTATCAATGAGTTTGACCCAAGCGTCTCCCGGGTTCCAAGGGTCCCTCTAGTACATGGTGCTACCCCTGACACGGCCCTCCCAGCCTGGGCTGGCCACACTGCCAACCCTTCACAGGCACCTTCCAGCTCAGAAGTTTGTGCTTTATAGAAAGTCTTACTTAGCAGGGAAGCTGGTGTGGGCGCTGAAGTATTTAACTCTTTCTTTAAAGACAAATTGATTATAAACAATCATGTCATCTTGAAATCTCGTCGTCAGAATGTCCCCCGAGTTTCCAGACATCGTATGCAACATCGTTGTAAAATATGCACTGAAATCGCGCTGCTGGCTTGAGCAGCAGTGACTGAGTTGTGGCGGAGAGTACCTCGAGGGTACTTCACAAGGGACTGGGCAGAAGAGAGGGCAAGGAGGAGCTTTGCTCGGCTGAGCTCGGTACGTAATCAGTGTATTTATTCCTGTGCCATCGTTGTTGGACTCGATTACCCAGGGTTTCTCTGCTTTGTGTTGTGGTGTTGTAACTTTTTACTCTTTTACTTGATTCAAAATCTGTGTTCCTGTCTGTGCTGGACAGAGCTGTGGTTGTTTCAAAGTCTTCGCCTAAATGTTACAGAGTTTAAGCTGGTGAAAGTAATAATCAAAGTAGACCACGCCGTACACAGAAGCACTGGCCGCTGGCCTCCGCAGTGTGCATCCGAGCATACCCAGCCTATGTGAGTCATCCCCAAAGAAAAATAAATCACCAGGTTTTCCCTTTAAATCAGAATTGTAATTCTGTCTAGATTAGAAGCAGCTATTTCTTTTTCTTTAAATACTTTTAAAAGTCTGAAAGCATTTTCTGCTGCTTCATGTACTTTCCAAGTGTAAACTTTGAGAAAAGCAGGCTTTCTTATATGAAATGTTCCAGAAATTCTAAAAGAAAGTCATTTCTATAAATATGTTAGCTGCACATTTTTAATTTGTCATTTTCTAAATCATGTCAATAAGTCTGTAAAACTTCTAAATAATACAATAATCTTTGTGAGAAAAAAGTTTGTGAGTTTTCTACAGTAAATCGATGGAATTGGATTCTTCCGCAGTAAATTCTAATTGAATACTTAATAACAATAGGCCATGAACACAGAACTAAAGTCTCCCCCAGCTTGCCAGGGTGCTTTCCTTAACTTGATTTTCACCTGTATGATTAGAACACTCCCTGCCTTCACCAGCGATAAACTATATGTATACACGTGTGTGTGTGTATGTACTTATGTATGTATGATGTGTTGCTGGCTCTGGCACAGCCCTGGTACTAATTAGCTGTGTTCTATTATATGTCTGGAAAGTTTATCCTACTGGTGTGATAAACTTATGTCATAACAACAGAATTCAAAGAAACCATTCTCCATCAGTTTCATTGGATAATTATGGAATACCTTTCTGAGATGCTTTTATTTGGTTTTCCCAATGAAGACATTCAGATTTTAAATTGTGTTCATAATTCTCCCAGTGAAAAACAATGCTGTCTGAAGATGCCTTTGTTATGCTTTGACTCAATGCATATTCATTCCGAGAAAAGGATGTAAACAGGTGTGCTACTCAGTGTGTGTCAAGGAGGAGAGGAAGCCAGAAGCAGCAACAGAGGAGGCCTGAGCCTGGCTGGCAGGCAGGGCGGCCTCCTAGGTAGCCCAGGCCAGTTATCATGGGGGGATCTAGTTTATTCCGTGTGAAAAGTCGAGCATTTGCTGCAGGGGCAGCAGGTGACGGTGGGGTATGGATGTACGAAGCCTGTCTTGTGATTCCAGACGGAAGCAGGAGTCCGTAGATGGAATGACACCTATCCCAATGCTCCCTGTGATCCGGGTGCCATCTTCTGAAAGTGTTGGTCTCTGCTCCACCGACAGCTTAGGCTGGCTGCTGGAGGCACAGTCGGTGTTGAGGGTTATTCCCTGGAAACCCTGACAGTATAATGTACTGTGCCAAGGGGACATGGAAAGTGTGATGATGCTGGTGTTAGTGAGTAGCTGCTGGGAAAACAGGATTACATGTAGACAGAATCAAACGTGGATTTCTTTACAGCGGCACCCGTGTCTCCTGCCTTGCTGGGGCCTGTCTGTTCCTCCGGGCATTATTCCTGACAGGGCATCAAAGAAGCTGAAAACACTCATACACAAGAACTACACTTAGAGAAGCTGGCACAGAACCCAGGAAAATTAGCATTTTTATCTGGAATTAGGTTACAGAATATTAAAAACCATGGTCCAGAAGAGAAAGAACATCTGTATGGTTTTTATCCTATTTTTGCTCATTTTCAAGCCTTTTTTATTTTTATTTTTTTATCTTTAAATATTTGTATTTTATTGTTCTTCAAGTTTTTATTTACCTGAGAAATATTTGTTCAGATTCTTCGTATCAGGTGAACAAAACAAGTCTGTTTAGAGGTGATCCTGCAGATCATCCTTTACAGTCATTGATCCTCGTGCAGACCTCCCCGTGGGCTGTCTCTCTTTCTGTAGGCTGTGTTTTAAGATCTAGGAGCTGGGCATAGTAGCTCTGCCTGTAATCCTGTAACATGGGAGAGTGGGCAGAAAGATCTGAGCTCAAGGCCAACCTGGGCTACGTGGAAAGACCCTGTTTCTACATTATTCTGGTTCTCTGCTGTAAAGGTTGGTGCCCGCCCTCCAGACTCTGCGCCAAGCTGGCGCAGGAGAATGCTGCCATGTTGTCGCCAGCAGCCCAGTGTTTTCCAGGGGAGTCTGAAAGACAGCCTGATACATACACTGTCATAAGCAAGTCTGTTTCTTGTTTAAGCCCTTTCCCTCCTGAGGGCAGTTGAACCTAGCATGTCTCTTGGGTTCCTGACAGTTCAAAGGTTCCTCTTACACAAGAATAGTACAAAGTAACTTAAGACCCAAATCCATCAGCAGCTGTCTGCGGATCTCTGTAACTGTCTGATCATCCAGTCCACAGAGGAGTGAAGAGGTTTTCAAAAGTGAAGATGCTCAAACCTTGTCTTTATATGTGCAGAACCATCCAGACTGCCTCAGAATCTTACAGGGTCCCTGACTCTGGCGCCTCAAGGAGGCAGAAGCACCAAGGTATGATGTCGTTCTTCCCGCCTCCCTTTGCTTGCTCCTGCCCGGATGGCCATCTGTCCATTTGTCCATCTGTCTCAGGGCCTCTTCCCCACCCACGGCCTCTTCCCAGCTGTCTGTCTATGCTGTATCTCAGGATGTCCTGTCTCTCCTACCAAGGATCTCCGGCCAACGTGGAACCACTGACTGTGGCTCTGGAGTGACCACCTCTATTCCCTGCTTCTCAGGCCTCCAGGGAAAGGTCACGGAAGCAGACATAGACGACTTTGCACATTCCTGACACAGCTCCATGTTTTCTGTGTAAAACCCACTGGTGAACCTGATGTGACATTCCCCATCACTTGGACCTTTTCCCTCTCCTAAAGTCGGTCTAGAATATCGGTTCCCTGCTACTTGACCGAGGGCTGCCACTCCCCAGAGGCCTGTGCAACCATTCCCAGTGTTTATCTGGTAGAGATGCTATATGGAAAAAGCCTGGAGCTCCAATCATTCTGAGTATTTTTAGTACTTTTTTTTTAAAGTATCAAATACACATTTGACTCAGAAGGGGGACAGAAAATAAAACCTGAACTAAGTGCTGTGTAGTGTCCTGATTCTGTTTGTCTCTAAAAAACATACTGCCCCGCTCCCACCAGCCACTTGGAATCTCTTAAAGCAGTGGTCTCAACCCTCCTAATGCTGTGACCCTTTAATGCAGTTCCTCATGTTGTGGTGACCCCCCCATAAAGTTATTTTGTTGCTCCTTCATCACAGCAGCCTTGCTTGTGTCGTGAATTGTAATGTAAATGTCTGCTGTGCCGCCCACAGGAGTCAGCACCCACAGGTTGAGAACCACTGTCTCAAGTGTAACCAGTAAATGTGTATAAATGAGGACAGTTAACTCACAATGTAAACGTGTTCTTTAGATATTTTCTTTGTAACGCAAGAGTAAGCCAAGTTTGTGGGTAATTTAATGACCAAGTTATGGTCATTAAATCTGTAATCTATAAGCCAGGAGAAGCAGCCTTTCGAGTGTATTTTTACTAAAGACTGTAACTGTTTCAGCTAGGAAGATCAGCTCCTGGAATAAAGAACATAACTCCTATAGCCTTTGTGGCAGAATATGGCATCTGTCCGCCATTGTACCAGGGTGTTCGCTCCTGCCTATAGTGTTTCAGTAGTTTGTGTGTGGGGAGAGCACATTTTACAACTTCTTGGAAAAGTGAATTTATGTGCTGCATTAAATCCTCCTTTAGTCTAAAGAGAATTACTGGTTTTGGAGACAAGAGCACAGGGCTGTGGTCCCTGTCCCATCATCGACTTTACTATGTGACCTCAAGCAATGACTGAACTTCTCTGTGCCTCAGTTTCTCCATATTACAAGATGGGGATAATGATAATCAACCACTGCCTACCTCATAGGGATGTTGAGGACAAGTAGGGTGACATAGATAAGTGTGGATGCTTTGCCCTCCTTGAAGGTGCTACATAAACTGCGCTTGCATTGTTTCTAGTGATCCAGCTCATTGTATTTAGGGTTAGATAATAGCAATACTTCTTGTCGTGTTTCAATTTGAGGCACATTTCTTCTCTTCTATGGCCAGATCCCGAGTTTCCATTTAGTGATGGTACCTAAGGAACTGACACGGGTGTTTGTTTTCTGTCTGATGGTAATATGTCAATTCTGAATAGTCATAAAGGCTGGACTTTAACTTGTGATGTTTTCTAGTTTACATGTAATGAACCTTATTCAAGTTGTGTATTAAAAGTATAATTACTTGTAAATAACAGGTACGTTGTAATTAAAGGCACTTATCAACTTGTCTTTGTTCTTTTTAAATTGTAATAAAGGTCAGTTTTATATAAAAGCTTGCTAAAATTCATTTGATATTTGGAAAGGTCAAAAATGACTGATTTATATGCTCTTAATACACACCTGTTGAAGGAGCTGCAGGCTGCATTCCTGCCACCCGGCTCCCAGCCGCTCGGCTAGCTTATACCCTGAAATAACAACACACAAACTGTATTCATATAAACACTGCTTGGCCCGTTATATCTAGCCTCTTCTTGGCTAACTCTCACACCTGGACTAGCCCATTTCTAATAATGTGTGTAGCACCCCAGGTGCGCTTACCGGGAAGATTCTAGCCTACGTCCATCCTGGGTCAAAGCTTCATCTCGTCTGCCCTGGCAATAAGCTGCATGGTGTCTGTGGCATCTTGCCTCACTTCCTCTTCCTCCCAGCATTCTGTTCTATTTACTACACCCACCTATGTTCTAACCTATGAGGGCCAAGCAATTTTTTTATTTTTTTAACCAATGACCTTCCTCCATCACACACCAAATGAAAGGATGCTGGCAATTTTTTTATTTTTTAACCAATGACCTTCCTCCATCACACACCAAATGAAAGGATACTGGCCATCAGCTGCCACCAGAGCCAGAAGACTATGCCAAGAGTGCTGTGGTTAGAGGCAGGTTTCTGCAGAAAAAGCATCAGTGTTTGAGGCTAGCTGGCTGACTCCAGGAACCTGCTGGACAGTCTATGCTGTCAGGATCAGAGGGTAGAGCCTATTGAGAACTTATAGTGGGATGCTGAGCTTAGTGCCTGTGTTTTGTAATTGCTAACAGACTTCCCAGGAAGCCTGGACAATATAGCGTGGCATTACCCTCCTGTGCCAGGCACCTGTAGAGATTTGCCCCAGTCCAAGAGGACACTTAGTTTGAAGAAGGAAGGCATAGACCCTGGGGCTTCACCCAGTGGGCAGCCTTGAATGCTTGACTGTCTTCTCCTGACCAAGACTGGCCATAGAGCCAAAAGGTGAGACAATGAGAGTTTCCGTAATCCTGTAGGGCCAAGGCCATTCTCCCTGTGAAAGCTAGAGCTAGGCAAAACTTTTCCTGAATCCTTAAATCCCAGAATCCTCCTGGGCCACCTGGGGAACTGGAGTCTCAAGCTCAGCAATTTGGTCTGTGTTCTGTCACTGGGGAACAGGGCAGACTACATGTCCACCCGAAGTGGCCTGCCAGTCCCCACTCAGAGTAGACATTTAGGGAAGGAAAAGAGAAGTCTGACCTAAAGTCAGTGGGACATAATCCACTCATAGTATCACTTTTAAAGAATGGTCAACCACTACTCATTTAACATCTGCACTTATGGTTGGTCAGTCTGATCTGCACATTCAGACCTCGGGAGCATGCGCTCATCCTTGGCATGTCTTGTCCGCCATCCTGGAGGATCACTAACCAGAATCTTAATGCTGGACTTCAGGTTGTGTGGAGCCAACTGTGGGCCAGCATCACATCTGTCCCTAGGACATCTCCATCTGTATATCCCAAAGTCATCTCAAAATGTCATTCTGGGGCAGAATCATCTTTCTCAGCTGTCCCCTTGCCCTTTGGGACACACTTTACATTGAAGCATGTTCCATAACATATACTGCACCTCTGTTGTACTCAGTGCTAAATGGTGTCTGCTCTGGCTCAGATTCTCCCTCTTTCCTGTCCTCCATGGCTCAGTGAGCCTGGTTTAGACCGGTGTCTATCAAGCCTTGAGATTTTGTTCTTGGGATGTTCCCCTCCTGAAATCTGCTTGGTGGCTATGACTCTCTGAAGAAATGGCAGGGAACCAAGGCAAAGATGTTCTCCAAGTGAGACCAGCCCAGAAAGTGCCAGTAAAGTGGAGGGGGCTGAGCAA